CTACAAAAGTCAAACTCTTTGACTTCTTATGAACACCCTTAGTATTAAAGAATGTTATGTCTGTCTCAAATATGGACTTCTACCCTGTCAAAGTCTATCACAACATAGACTTTTAACTCTGACAAGTCTTACCGCATTACAGATTTTTATGTCTTATCAAGTCTATCCCAATATAGACTGTTAACTCTATCAAGTCTATCTTAGTATATATAGACTACCATTAAAGGCTTATAGAGTAGTTAAGGACATAAATAAGTTGTAAGTCTTTTCTTTCTATCATAGCTGTTATTTGTAATGCAAACGACAGTTTGTGAATCACAATGTGGTGAAGGTGTTGGACACCCCCACAACTGCACGGTTATCACCATGTTTCTTAGACACTCAGCTTCTTGGGATAACCCCATTATCTTTCATAAGAGGTGGTTAACCCTTTTCTACTCAAGTTAGGGATCTCTTTAGGTCTACCTCAACATAGATCATCCCAATTGAGTATAAGTCACCAAGAGCACTTTTTACTCATGTCATTATGCGGTGAATTCATTAGGTTTGTCTCAACAAAACCACTCTTTCTCAAAGACTTATGAATTCATTAAGAGCTGTAGCTCAACCTCACAAGTACACACACTGTCGGAATGACCAACTAGTGTACTATTTTGTAACTCTTTTCATGGCTTCGTTTGACCACAGAAGTGGGATCCACCACGAATTCATTACCACTTGGACTTTAAGTCTTTCCAATGAGTCAGTGACTAATCCTCATAATTAGCCCTCAAGTAAGTTGATTCTTTTGACCAAACTTACATGCACTTTGACGAGTACTTCGTTTACTCGTAAATAATCCCTTGAGATTTTCATGTTTAACATGAAACATTCTCTTTCATTATTATTCTCAATACCACAGAGAAACTTTTGATGAAAATATAAGGAGTTTATTACCCCCACAATGCAACACTTACAAGTATTTTTGTCAAACATATTTGATCTCTTACCTAGACTGATCTTTGGTGCCCAACCTTAGCTCCTTTGTAGACTGAGTTTTGCCGATTTGCTTTGTGGAGCATTATAGAAGTTTCGCACTCTACCTGATACATGCTCAACAGTTGAATATATTTCAACAAACTTGGTTATCTCAATTGATCACAATTACCCTTTAACTAGGAATTATAGGTATTTCAATATGACTCAACCAAGAGTTTAAATAATATATATACAAATGCTCATTGTTAGTAAGCCATAGAAATAATGTTGTCCACATGCTACATCAAGTTGAACAACATAATCACAAATTTCACATCATATTCTTATAAGAAATTAATCTCATACACAAAGAATATGTTCGAGCTCATATTTATTCGGAAAAAAACTCTCAACAATGAGACTTCAGAGTTGCCACTTGCACAATTTTCCATTCCCTTGAGGAAATTAAAACTCATATAAAGCATTCATAGGATGCAGATCAATATTACTATTGCAGTACTTCAACAACTTCTATTGCAAGGCTTTGATTGTTTAACAACATATGAAAGTCATCCTCATTTCAGGTGAAGATCAAGTGGCGCTCTAACTAGCCTACATGATCAACACCCTACTTCTTAAGTATTCCCAGGTCGAGTGGTGAAATCGAAGTTTACCTAAAAACCATCTTCCTAGACAGAGTGTTCAAGAATGATGACTTTTCCATGTTCTCATTAAATTATAATTGAAGCCTATGATATATGCTCTTATTTTTTATACAAATAATTTTAGTAAAAAGTTTGAGCAATATCTATGCACAAATTATTTCAATCAATGTCATTGGTATTCAACATACTAAAGAAGTAAGTACTACTAAGTAATCAAGATCTAGACAACTCAACTAGAATTCAATACTAAGACAATCATACTTCATGCGAACCCTTAGAACTAGAGCAAATATAGTTACTCAAAATAACTATTTATTTAAAGAGACTCAATACTCATGCATCTTGCTCTGTCAGATTGACTTTTGCTAGTTTTGCCCTTGTGATGGTAGCACTGATGTGCTCGGTGTCCTTGCTTTCTGCACGCAAAACACTTTCCTTTGAACTTCTTGATTTTTCTACTCCTTTTGTTGTAGACAGTTCTGACACTTTGATTGTCAGTTTCATTTGCACCGTACTTTTCTGACAGTGATTCCCAAATGACTTTTGCCGAGTCTTGTTTGACATAGATGTCGAACAAATCGTCATTCATTTGTGACAGAAGGTATCCTCTGCTGCCGCATTGTCATTTCTAAACTGCATCAGAGTTACACCCGATTCTTGACCCGGAATGTAATCTATTTCAGGACTGCTTTCTCTCGATTCTTCACCCGGAGTGTAATCAGATTCATGGTTAGTTTTTGTAGCACCAAAGGGAGAGAACACAGTTGGTGTAGGTTCGGGTGCAATTGAATATAGCACGTAAACCAACTTTAATTGTTCAAAGAGAATATGCATTCTTTGAGCCCACCTACTGTAATTTTTTCCATCAAGCGCGGTAATTTTTGATAGATCGGGTATGACAAAAGGTGCCATAACGCTAAAGGTTGACTGTTGCACAATAACGCTTTTAATTGTTGGGGAAACGTACAACGTCAACGCACGATCTGGAAGCCTTTTAAGAAGCACGGACACTATGGGTGTATGGTAGAAAGAAAATTTGTGCCGTGTTATAATAACACTACTTTAAAAGCGTTATTTGCCCGGTAACGGTGCAGTTAGAACCCTGGCACGCTTTCGACAGGCCACATAGACCTACTACGGATAGCTTGCACTAGCAATCACGTAGACTACCCTCACTATTGCTCAGACTAAAGGAGAAGGATGGAGAATAGAATAGATGAATCGAAGGTGTCTTCTTAATGAACAAAGGAAGTATGCTATATATAGTAATATAGGCTTCACTCCTTAGCCACTAATGTCCAAAAGAGAAGCTGCACGTCTCATTCTCAACAAAATGAGATTCACTCATTTTGGGAAAAAAGACAGTCACATAAAATGGATTGCTTGGACAAAGTATGACGTGGACCAACGGTTAAGAATTTTCCAACAAACTTTTTCTTCACATGCTTTTGGAATTGAACTCTGCCCATTCCTCATTTAATTTGAATTCATCCTTAAAATATTTGGCAAGAAATTCAGATTTTATCAACTGGTTGTCATGTTGTTCACCACAATTGTGCCTATATGTTTTAATTGTGAAAGGACAATTTTCATTGCTCCTAGAACCAAATATAACCAGTCACAATTTGTATCCCTACACTTTGCTCTAATTCTGCAAAGCTCATTCTTCACAAAGTAGACATTTTTTTTTCTCAATGCTTCATACCTTTTAACTGCCCACTTAAACTCGTTATTATCTTTAAAAATCATCCATTTCTAAAATTTAAAATCTTCCAAGTTGAATTTTGATTCACTGAAAACTAAAATTGAATTACACCCTTCCACATCAGAATTTGAACTAATTCCCCTTAATTCATCTTCAGAATCAACACAATCTATTTCATTTAATTGGGCAATTGAGCTGCCTAATTCCTCCACAACATTGTAATTACAGTATCATGTTCATATCCACTAGAAAATGAGAATCATCAAATTCACCATCTAATGATGTTGATTTTTCATTTCCAGAGTTGCAGTTACACCCTTCACCACTATGTCCTTCATTTTGATAAGTTTATCATCTTTTGTGATTATCAATATCACTAACCCCACAGTGTTTCAATTTATCCAATATAATATTCAACTTGCACATCATATGACCAATTTTCCTCATCTAACTGTTGCGCTATTATTTCCACTTCATTGTTTTTTGGAATATAATATATTAGTTGATACCTAGGCTCTAACACTGACATCCCTGCTCCAACACAATAGTCAAAATATTCTAGATTTCCACAAATGTAATCCATATTAAGTTCCAATAAAAGCAATCCACCATAATACAACTTTACAGTAAACATACCATCTTCACGTGAATCTAACAAACCAAAAGACATTTTACAATTAAATAACTACAACAATAATCAACATTAAGCAATTAAACAAATCCCCCAAACAAAAAATCAAAGCTCAAACCCACTTTTAATCATTTCATAACATTCTACATAACATTTGATTAATACAAATACATATAAGAAAATAATTTAATAAGAATTCATACAATTCACATGCTCAGAATCTTTATAGCAACATAAAAAATAATGGAGGTAGTCAAATCTTTACAGCAGACATAAAAAAATTCAGAACATTAAAGCTATTAAACATGAAACACAAATTTACCCTAAACACGAAGTGACACGAAACTATTAAAGAAATAACAAGAATCGGTATTTTACCCAACAATTAATTAAAAAAATTCACAAATTTTAGATTATATAAATAAATTGATAAAATACTTAGAACCTAAATACAAAACTATTACACAAATAACAACAATTGACATTTTTCACAACAAGCAAATAATCAAAAGTTAACCCATCAACAAAAATAAATTAATGAAAACTTTTGGAATTGCTTAAAACTTTAGAAATTAACAAAGTCTAAGAACTTATATGGTGGAGTTTGCTTCAAGCCAAGCCAAGTAATCGCTGACTAGTCATCGAGAAAACTTCTAAAATATTTCGTCAACACAAAGCCTGAATTTTGCGTGTTTGCTTCAAGCAAGAAGAACAGATAGCTTGGATTTTGATTTTAATTTTTTTTCTCGACAACTTAACGTTTACTTATGGTCTGAAATAAGCAAAAATGATAAAATAATGAGCTTTGAAGACTAATTGTGTTTTGACATAAATACCTTTATATACATTAAACAGCTACTTAACACTCTTGGTAATAGAAGGACGAAAATTATAATGCAACTTGTATTTTAGGGACAAAAAGTAAACACTTAAAACAATTAAGGACTAATCTTACAATTACATTATAATTTAAGAAAGAAAATAACAATTTTCTCATTAATTAATTATTTAGGGTCCAAATCGTGGGGTAAAAGAAAGCGGGTGGTGATCTTTGATACTATTCGTTCCCATACTTCCATTTACTCCTTTGAAACAAAAATCCAGAGGAAGATCAATTATAAATAATTCAACGACAGTAGCTACAGGGAGGGTTTAAGCAGCCGCAGAGAGAGCGCGAGAGAGCTATGGGGAACCCCAAGCAGAAATGGACATCCGAAGAAGAAGAAGCTCTCCGCGCCGGCGTGGCCAAGCACGGCGCAGGCAAGTGGAAAAATATCCAGAGAGACCCTGAATTCAACCACCTCCTACATTCTCGCTCCAACATTGATCTTAAGGTTCTTTCCCCCATAACGCTGCGTGCTTTCTTTTTTTCTCTTCTTGAATGTCTTGATTGTAGTTATAATTTGGTTTCGAATAAGGGGGGCATTGATGATTTGATGTTATTGGGAGGAAAGCCCGAAGGGTTTTAGGGTTAAAGTTATGTGCTTTATGTTGGGAATTCTGGGTTTTCTCTATGGAGCTCTGGGATTTAGTTATTTACATGTTTTAATATGTCTGAAGGTTTTGCTTTCAGTTCATTATTTGGATTGCTCACTAGAAACTGCTGTATTAGCTTGATGAGTTGGTGAATGATTTGGACCTTTCAAAAGTGTGCATTTATGGTAAATCAGATGCCTACATGAAACTACAATTATAAGTATGAGGTAATTTTGGTTCTTCTATATTCAAGTCAATCTGCTTCCTTGGTGGTGTGACTGGAGACTTGGATAGTTGGATGGTGAGGCTGTTTGGTTGGTAGCTAAGCATGGAGGGGATTAAAGCTGCCAGATAAAGGTGGGATTAAGGTTGAAATTGGAGGTACAATACTATGTTTGGTTTGGGGAATTAATGATGGGATTATGAATTGGACTAACAATAATATATGTGGGTTGAAAGCTTAGTGATAGGATTAAGGATGAAAAATCAGAAAACTACTGAGGCCTACAATGTCATCTAGTCCAGAGGAGCGGGGATTTAAGGGGATTATTAGTTAAATCCCTTAAATCATACACCTTATGTTCTTATGGTATAATCTTCAAGGGCTATAAGTGATGGCATGCATTTAATGGGCAACTTGCTCTATGTTATTTAGTTATGCCCTATTGCCCTAGTGGCAAGTGTACTTGGTTGAAAGATTTTTTTTTTTTTTTGTTTTTGTTTTTTCTTTTAAAATTAATAATAATGTTATAAAATTATACCCCAAAAGGCCAAAACCAAAGGATCTGTGGTGTAATTTTATTGGAAGTCAAATGTTTTGGACCTGAGGTTGAGAGACATGGAGCCTTACCTTAGAACTTTGAGAGGTGAACATGTTCATCTTTTCTTAAGAAGTCGTGTGCTTAAATCTATGATATTTTATATGTGCAGGTAGGCCATCATGCATAGTAAGAGGAGGATATGACAATTTGACCATAAAAAGCAAAAGTTTTATTGTGCCGGAATCTACAATTGTTCTAGAATGTTTTTTTTTTTTTTGGCCAAACAACTAGGTTTAAGTGGGTCTTAATATAAGAGGCTTATTGTATTTATTTTTTGTTTAGGATAAATGGAGGAATCTGAACGTAAGTGCAAATGCGCAAGGCTCAAGGGATAAATCAAGGAGTCAAAAGCCAAAGGTCAATGCTGATGTTCCTATGACTCCGGTGCCCAATGCACTAACCCATGCTTCCTCCACTCCACTTTTACTGGATACAGCAACACCAGCAGATGCCGCCGTTGAGGATAACTCAAAATGTTTATTAGATGGAAAAACTGCTTCAAAGTGGGTTTTGTTTTCTCTGCCTTTGTTTTACTTATGTTTCTGCAAGAGATTTCATACTTGGGAGTCATGTTTATTATTTTTGTCCAGTTATAAACTCTATTTCTAGTAAACTGTATGTGACCCTGAGTGTTGAAGACTGAAATATGGAAGATATGTATTGTACACCAGTAGATATGTGGTCAAAAGTTCTGTACATGAAACAAAGTAAAATGCAGCTACTTCATAAATTGGGGTGAAAAATTCATTCTGAAGTAGCATGCCATTTTGCCATGAGCAGATAAAGACAGTGGTTCTGCAACAAACTGATGCTTGTATTAGAGCTTCAGACATAGGGTTATGCAGGCAGCATGGTCTGCTCTAAGCTGAGTATTATGTGTAGATGTTTTGTAGGATGGAGCGTTGATAAGAAAGCTGCCAAGAGAGATCATTGTAAACGCTCAAAGTGTTCTTTGCTACATTCCCTTTTACATCATAACAGAGGGGTCATTAGCAAATTTGATCTGCTTAAAATTTAAATACACTCACAATGGTATCAGGAAACTAAAGAAGGATATAAATAGAAGGAAAACCTGATTAATTTTCTGTTCTAGTTTACACCCTAATCTTTACGATCTATTTTTCTTTTTCCTGTTACAGCTGTAGGATTTTTTTTCTTCATTTTTATAAAATTTTTGTTTAAGGTTACATAATTCTTTATTTTTGTTGTCAGGTACAATGGAATGGTTTATGAAGCACTTACGAATCTAAAGGACCCAAGTGGATGCGATATAGGTACAATTGTCAATTTCATTGAGGTATATATATAAATTTGACATTACCTATCTCCCTTTCTCTATTTTGCTAATTGCTCTCCATTATCTATGGGTATAAAGCCCTTTATGTGGTTTCCTAGCAGATGAGTATCTTCTATGAATTTGATGAGTGCAAGCACTTAGATATGTATTTTTTAATGAAAATGTTATAGACCTATTACTCTCTGTTCAGAGTAAGAATGAAAGAAAGGGAAGGAATTTGTTTTTGGAACTACAATATAGCAATTAAAATCATTGCCATAATTTACAAATTTGTTCAGAATACCCTCATTTAAAAAAAAAAAATTCCTTAATTCACTTGTTCTAATTCTTGAGTTGACCTTGCATTTCTTTTCTCATCATTATTATTGTTGTTATTATTATTTGTTAAATACAGCAAAGACATGAAGTGCCACCAAATTTCAGACGGCTACTGAGTTCTAGGTTGAGGAGGCTTGTTCAACAAGACAAACTTGAAAAGGTAGTTTGATCCTACCATCTAAACCAGTTCTATAACTGATTATCTTGTTCTAGACTACTTTTGTCACCATAGCGGAGTATTATTTGTTTGAACTTCATTGCATCTATACTTGTTTATAATTCAACATTGCTAGTGCCATCATTCTGGTGGTGAGCTCATATGTGGTGCAACTATAAATGTATATAAATTGTTACAAGAATAAGCTTGGAAATGATCCTTGAAGTTTACACTGATGTCGGTCTAATCATTTTTAATGGAATTATGTATTTCAACTGTATGGTATTTATTTTTCTTGATCAAGAGGCACCCTCTGTCATGTTGTCAACTGTGGGATCCCCATCGTATTTCAAAATCATATTGTAAAGCATGATGTATTTAGATTTTAGAATAAGGATCATGCTACCATGTTGCGTGCAAAGGTTTTTGGTCATAGTATAATTTACCGTGAAGTTTGGTTATATTGGGTTGGAATTCTGGATACAGGTACAGAACTGCTTTAGGATCAAGAAAGAGTTCTTACATGCATCATCAACAACTCCGACTCCAAAAATAAAGGATAGTGGGCCAAAAGAGGATTTGCAAAACACTGGCTATCTTGGTGATACAGTAGAAGAAGCAGCTATAGCGGCTGCCTACATGATTGCAGAAGCAGAAAATAAATCATTTGTGGCAGCTGAAGCTGTGAAGGAGGCTGAGAGGGTCTCGCGAATGGCTGAGGATAGTGACGTACTGCTTCAATTGGCAAAGGATATCTATGACAAATGTAACTATGAAAACTTGATTTCTTTTTGGTTCCCTCCTTTTACCATATACATACATGGGAGTGGGATAAGATGCGGACAGCTTGCCCCATGCAAACGTTCCGATGCACTGTCAAGCCATTATCAATGCACCGTAAAACATTCCCAAATGCACCGAGCATTACTTGATTCTCATTGATTGTCAACTCTGGTGCATTTGGAAATGCTTGACGGTGCATTTTAGGAATGCTTGGCGGTGCATATCAAAGGTTGAAAATCAATGAAAAGTGGAGGATGCACCGTAAAGCATTTCCAAATGCACCGGGCACTACCTGATTGTCAACTCTGGTGCATTTGGGAATGCTTTACGGTGCATTTCTAATTGCCTACATAAATGTATGTATATATATTCTTTTATAACCTCTTACCTGACTACTTCCCTTCTTGTTTTGTTCAATCGACAGGTGCTCGTGGAGAAATTGTCATATTGGCATAGGATATGTATGGTCTACAAATCTTTTAGAGGTTGTAAATCAGTGATTATTTTTTGGTTGTTTAGTTGATTAATATGACACTGTTATAGGTCTTAAATCAAGAATTTCTATGTGCAATCTATATATACAGGGATCATCTTTCTTGTGTTGTAAAGATATATGATTCTCGGAAGTTTGCAACCCAGGGCTGCTATCTCTTCTTTTGGGCATTTCAATATTTAGGCTTATAATATTGAGAATTTTCAATTATACTCATTGCTTTAAACAATTTCAGTTTTGATCGTTTGCAATACTGAAAAAGCAGTCATGATGCACAGAAACTTTCAATTTCAAGGGTAAGTATTTTGCGTTTTGGAACACGTAATCGTTTCTTTGAAATAAGCTTAAGAAAACTCTAAAATATTTTGTTTTACTAATTTAAAAAAAAAAAAATTCGTTGTACTATTTATTTGTGTTTTGTATTCTATAATTTCTTGTGTTTTATTTCTTATTTTTGTAATTTTTGTAATATCTATAATCTATATGAGAAATATAAACACCAATATTTCATATTTGCATCTTTGTTTTCTGTTTTGGTGTTTTTTTTCCTCAAAATTTTGTATTTCTTAATTGTATGAACTAATCGATTATGACAAAACAAAGTTCATTCTTTGACTGCAATAAATTAACTGATTTTGAAGTGGCAAAATCTTTTATTTATTTATTTTTAGATTGGATGATCAAATAGCTCTGCCAACTTATACCAAAACAAAAATTGAACTTTTAAAATTTGAAAGTTTTAAATTAACACTCAAATTTTTATTTTTAAAAGTGTAATTGAGTCATTTTAACATATTATCATTGGGTAATTACTAGATCATGACAAAAATGCTCTCAATGCAAGATTGCGCCTCACAGTGTTTGGAGAAAGACTTTGACTTGTTGGAAAAGAGCACTAAAAAAAAATGAAGCATGTGGCACTAGCACCTCCCGTGGCTATAGGGGGCTTGGCGAATGTGCGGATTTTGAACGAGATGGAGGGGATCAAGGAGGCTTGACGGGAGGTGCCACTTGGGTTCCCAGATTGCTATGGGGTTCGAGGGTGGCAATTATAGTGGGCCAGATTTTGAACGAGAGATGGACGATGGGGATTTTGGAGGACATATGACGAGTTTGGCGGACAGAGCGACAAGGTGAGGTGTCCCTCTATCAGACTAACAGTAGAGGAAGAGTTGCTTAGGAGACTATGGCGGCAAACACTAATCATCAAGGTATAATGAGGAGAAGAGTTGGGTATGAATACCTGCTTCGCTGCCTTGGCATCGAAAGGAAACATTGACCTTGTGGCCATCGATAACGACTACTTTCTAGTCAATTTTGGGTCGAAGGATGACTATGAGTTCGCCAAGTACGAAGGGCCATAGATGTGGCTCGACCACTAGCTCCCTGTGAAGGAGTTGACGCCTGACTTTGACCTAGCTAGTAAAGACATAGAAAGTCCTAGTGTGGGTTAGATTCTATAGAATATTACAACCTAATTTCTTAATGAAAGTGGGTGAAAAGATTAGCCAGCCCGTTCGTGTGGATCAAGCGACTAGCCAGGTGTCTAGGGGAAGGTTCGCTCGCCTTGTATGTTGGTTGACATTACTAAGCCTTTGGTGGCGAAGTTAAAACTCAAGAAAAGAGTTTTCCATGTGAAATATGAAGGCATACATTTAATATGCTTCAGTTGTGGAGTCTACGACCACCGCTAGGATGCGTGCCCAAGGAGCGCTTGCAATGATGGTGGGGGTGACGTGGGACTGTTGGAGGACGAGGCTGTTGCTTGTAATGTCGATCAAAGAACCTTTCGAGATACTGGAAAAAAGAACTCTTGGTAAGTTCGTGCTTGAGGAGTTGTTTGGTTCATAGATGCTAGTGGCTAGACAAGGGAAGAAACCACATGAAAGGAGAAGACCACGAGAGAATAGGTGTTGCGCAGGGCATCCCCAAACCACAAGCACCAAGGGAGAGGCCCCCAATGCCAAGCAAGGGGGCGTCGAGGTTCATCGCATTAGGAAGCCCTCTGCGAAGACAACTTTGTCGGGGTCAAAACAGCGTGTGATCCTGAACCCCATGTAATTGTGGAATGCTTCAACAACATTAATTCCACCAATTACTCCTCGTTTCCACCACCTGATCAGTTTGGCTTGATTCATTCCATCAGCGAACGATACAGAGTTGTCTCTCAGGAGCTTAAAAATAACATTGTTGATTGATTCATCAGAATTCAGGCTTGTGACTTTCTTAATGGAATCAAGTCTGGCGTTAACCCTCCTTTTAGCTTCAACAGCTTCCTCTCTTTGTCTCTTTTTCGCCCTCTCATTTTCTTCATCTCTTCGCTTTTGATCATCTATCTTTTGTTTCATATAGAAGATATGATCAATCTTGCGCTGTCTATGCCATCTCTTGGTTGAGGGTGGCATATTCTCTCATCGAAATATCCTGCCACTGTCTTCTTCATAAGGTACATAGGGAACCTCTTTACCATCAGTGTTAATAGTGGTGCGTTGAGAGGATTTCGTACTTCTGCTTCTTCCTTTGTAAGGCTCAATACTGAGAGTGGGATTAGAGCTTCTTTGACCTTGCCTAGGAGGGTACCTATCTTCCCCATTTTTGGCATCATGAGTAGATTGGGATGCTATTGCTGTTAGTACTGTAGGCATTGAATGGATGAGATCAGCAATTTCCAGCATTTCTTCACGCATGATCTCCTAGTTCTTGCCCAATATTAGTTGACTCTCATGCACCATGTCAACTTTCTCCTCAACTTGGTCCACTTTAGATTTGATGGAGCGCTGGACATCTAGAACAATGTGTTAGTCCTCCCATATTTGCTTGAGGCCACCAAGAAGATTGTCTAGAAGTGTTTGCATGCCTTCCATCATCTTTTCTAAGCTGGCCAAAGACTTAACAACCGAGTCTTTAAATTCTTGATATACTTGCATGGACGTCTCGACTGCAGGTTGGCTAGAGGAACGAACAAAACTCCTAGTCTTTACTCCTTTTCGTACTTGAGCTCTTGTCTCATCGGCCACCTTCTGAGTCTTCCTGACCGTTTTCCTCATCCTCTTAAACAAACTTTGTTGCTCCACAGCCATGGACTTAAGTGTTGTCATCAGCGAAGTAAGTCCTTCCATGGGCCGGGTTGTAGGAGAGGAAATGTGAGTTGGACCAGCTTCCTCGGAAAATGGATTCTTTGGACTCGCTTTGAGAGGTGCTTCCCTATTTCCACCTCTAGAGGAATCTAAATCCGAGTGGAGAAGAAATCCCTTCCACAACTGAAATTTGTCTTGGGATCTCCTCGACTATAACTCCTTAAGTGGTAGTGGGCTCGGCCTAACCCCTCGGTTCTACATCTTACATCTTCTCGAGTGGGTGTGAGAATAGGCGAACGAACTTCTACTCCTTGAGCTTCATCACCCCACGACTTTTCAACCTCTCGAGCGAGCGATTGACGGCTCGGTATTTCCACTACAACAGCTTCACTACTCGGTACTTCAACCTTTGGAGTAGGAGTAATGATGTGCTTTGTTGTCTCGGCTGCTGCGACCACTCGGGTGAATATGTCCTACTAACCTCTCGAGCCTGTTCTAAACTTGGTTGTTCCCCCTTGGTTGGTGTCGTCTAGGCTAGTCTCTCTTCTAACTGCTCGGTCACCGCCTGTTCCTTAGTAGGTTTACTCTTCGGCTTCTTTAACAGGGTGCCTTAGACGATTTATCTTGGTTCGAGGTACCCATTGCTAATTTCTTCTTGGCTTTAGCCTGTTTGATCAACTCGGCTAGGGGAACATTAGATGAGCTTTTTGCCTAAGCTGGAGCCTTTTTGGACTTCTTCTTAGGAGGAGTAGCAACTTGACCCTTCGGTGTTGGGGGGTCTCGTCCTCATGTAGTACTTGTTGGGATGGGCTGCTACGCAGTTGTGAACACAAATAATCAAAATTGTATATATTCACAAAATCGGGTTACAATGTGTGTATAATTTAAGATTAAGACTCCGGTACAAAATCTCTATGTAGTCCTCTGATTCTTCACTAACGTGCTCTACTGAAGTGCCTCCGAGATTCAAATGGTGCCTCCTGGATTCAAACGGCGTTGCTTCCGGGATTCAAGTGGCGTGATCTTAAACAGCAAACATCAAGCTTCAAGACAGTCAACTCTGCAGAGCTTCAAAGTACCTCCAATGCCCCTTCAAGTTGCTTCAAGATCTTCAAAACCTTCAAAATGCCTTCAAGTCTTCAAATGTCTTCAATGAGCTCTCAAATCTTCAAGTCTTCCAAGTCATAGACGCTCCTGACTCGCATGAGCTTAAACTGTGTACGGTAAACTCCAAGCCCGCATGAGTTTAAATTGTTAACGACCCTACCTTTTCAAATGGTCCTTTGAACTACGTTTGACTTGATCTCCTTAGCAGGAGTACGTAGGGCTGAAGATTATTCATACTAGTTCAAGATTATTTATTTTCCAAGTTTTATGTGGTTGAAGAAATTGATTTTATTTGTGGATGTTAGGAAAATTAGGGCTGTTATTTGGGATCCTGAACTAGTATAAATAGGGCTGGATTTTTCAGTAGAAGGAAGTCAGTTTTTAGAATAATTTTATTTTATTCTGTAAACACTTTTGCAATGTACTACTAAGTTCGAATTTTCCAATTCAAGAGATTATTGATATTTGATTCTTCAAGTCCAGTGATATTTATTTAGCTTAATTAATCTTTACTTCTTATTATTTATATGTCTTCTATTATCTTGTTATTACTGCTTTGATTAATTGTACAAAAAGAATTCGTTGTTCAATTTTCAATTCAGTAAATTGCTATTTAGAATGCTTGAATCCGTAATTGTTTAAGTATTCTAAACCTTAGTGGTAAAATAACATAGTTGATTATAAAATAGATTTTCAATCTAAGTTAAGGAGATGTATAATCTAGCTTAAATGAATCGTGCTTGCGAGTTTGTTGGCTAGAGTTGGTAATCTTTCTAATTCTTTTAATGCTGTTAGTAAATTAAATCCTAAGAGCTTGTTTAGGGTTGTTTATTAACTAGGGAAGTAATCAAAGAGCCTGTTTTTGATTACCGACAAAGTAAGGAAAGATAGGTTGTTAGAGCTTGTTAATAACCATAACCAATTTGGTAAGAGTAGAGTAATTTTGTCTTGAAACCAATGATCTGTCTTGTTAG